TCGCTATTTTGCTGAGGGTTTGAGGCTTCGGGTCTGTAGCTTACAGTGTAGCGTACTGGGCGGCATAGTTCGGGTTTGGATGTGGCTGGCACGCGGGCCCAAGCAATCTGTCGAGCAAGGATGATGTACAACGAGAAGGACCAGCTGACTGTCTGCTTCTCGTCAGCACTTGGTGGGAGGTTTGGCAACAGGGAAGCACAGGCCTTGTCCGGCCTTTAGCCGCTCTCCTTCCGGATAATTAAGAGGTGTTTCGGATAATTCAGGGGTGTTTCCGAGGCGAGCTTGGTCTTGAGTGCTATCCCATGCGCCGCTGAATGTAGGATCCTTCTCGCCATACCTGGTGGAGGCTCACTCAAGGTGTTGGAGGTCGTGGGCCCAATCCTAAATGCGGTTCTCCAGTCCTGCATCAGAAGCGGTAGCTACTCTAGGACTCCGCTCAGAAACTCGTAAATCGACAACTGCCCCTCGACTGCCGCTACCCCGCATAAATGGTGAGATGGGCCGGGCGCATCAGGATGACTTGCACGGCCTGCTCGGAAGACTCTGAACCCTAAACATCCCTTTACATCCCTTAACCTATGCTTGAAACCTGCAAGCTTGAAAGCCAAAGACCCCAAACCAAGGTGACTTCCTGGTACCCAAAGAGCAGAGGCACCGGCCTCTGCCATTGTAGTGTTTCGTTTGTTGCGTAGCGCACGCGTGCGAGTACTAACAAGTGCCAGCGTTCGACCGACAGCTTTCGGCTCGAGCGCTGTTGTTGAGTTGCACCCTAGCGCCTTTCGCCACTCATCGTCTGGTCATTTCTGGACTCGCCGCTTCTGCCGCGGCCCCCTGCGACTTGGAGGCCGACTTCATGGCGGCGGCCGGGCTGGACCGGGTCATCTAGTCGCCGGCACCTCCGGCGATGGTCCCGCCTCTGGCGGGATTGGGGAGAACCCTTGCTCTCGACGAGGCCACCTTTGGTCGATAGCGCGGCCCTCGCCGCCAACAGCCACCGAGACGCCGGCCATGTCGGAGGGCAGCAGTTCGCCGAGCATCAGCTGCTCCGACGATGCGCCTGGCTCGCCGGGGCCCTTTCCGCCCAGGGCCGTGGTGTCCCGGCGGACAGTTCTACAATCGGTTGATGTGCTTTCTCATGCGCCAGCTCGCAGAGCAGGGCGTTCCGATCACGGCGGGCAACGAGATCGACGCGTTTCGCCCACTTCTTGGAGAGGTCGTGGATGACGTCCCGCCGTGCGTCGACTTGGAGATGGAAGTGCCCCCATCGACCCCGACTTGGCAGGACCATGTCGGCGACAGGAGATCATGGCCCAGGTCCTTCCCCTCATCACGTGGCGGGCCAGTTCGCCCTGATGGAGGGATACGGCAAGGACCCGGCATTGAACGGCATACTGGCGGCCTCTGCAGGCCTCGCCTCTAATCGGGCATGGAGCCCCGACTTCGGGCCGAGGCTGAGGGCTGGACCCGAGTCCGGGCCCCATGGACGAGGTCATGATGATCGTTAGCGAGGTGGCCGACGACATCGCTTCGCCTGCCACACCGAGCGGCTGAGAGGCTTTTGGATTTGGCGTTGTGGAAGAAAGTGCCGGCGCCTTGTGGGACCGGGCGGACGCAGAAGTGCGCACCGAGGTACTGGCACGGTTTAGGGGGCGGCATGTCCCGCCAGGCGCAGTTCACGCTTCGACCAAAATGGGCACCTGCACCTTTGTAGGGTTTTGGCTAACACGTCGTTAGCGTAGCGCTTGTTGTGTAGCGCACGTGTGCGAGTAGGAACAAGCGCCAGCGGTCGACCGACAGCTTTCGGCGCAAACGCTGTTTTGAGCTCCCACCCTCGACACCCTTTGAACTTCCGTCTGCGACCCTGATCGATTAGAAGGCCGGCAGCCGCCCGACCGGGCAGTGACCGCAGAAGTGCGCACCCGGGCACCGGCACCGGCTTATGGGGTGGGATGCCCAACAGTGCGAAGTTCGCGCGTCGAGCAAAAGGGGCATCTGCACCTTTGTAAGATTTTGGCTATCACGTCGTTGGCGCAGCGCTTGCTGGCTCATGGGTTTGGGTTCAGGATTCAGATTCAATGTATGATCATGAGTATGATGTTATGATGATGAAATCATGGATGGTTTAAATTTAAAATTCTTCAACCATCACCGGCCACGCCGCAGGAGTGACAGCCTACACCCTTAAGCCTCCGCCTGCTTCTACTACAGTTAAAACGAAAATTATCATTAAGCTTGCTGCTATGTTCGTCATGTTGCATGTTGTTACTACTGATACGACGACGACGACTACTATGACTACGACAATTACCACCTTCAAAAAATCCCAAACCATATACCCTAAACGTAAACCCACTCAGCCCTCAACCCTACGCATCAGGGAAAGGCAGCTCCAGCGTTCCCGGGAACTGGCCACCGGCGCCACTACACCGCAGGCGCCTTTGGGCGTGCTCGGGAGGAAAGGGGCTCTCCGGGTTTACGGCTCAGGGTGGAGGGCATTTGTAAAAGTTTTGGGCGTAAGACGTTGGGCTTGGGTTATTTTCGGCTCTGGTTCTTCTAAGGGTCCTGAACAGGGTTTCCTTAAGGGTGCTCTAATTTGAGGGTGCTCTAATGGGGGTTAGGAGGTTAGGATCTAGAGTCTGTTCTCCGGGCTTAGCGTTCATAAGAGATCTTTACGGGATCAACGGGAACGATTCTATAATAAGGGTTTTGGGGCTGAGTGTGGCGGGTTAAGGATTGAGTGTTTAGCGGTTAGGTTACATGATTTGAGGTCTTGATGTTTGACATGAACACGGCTGCGAGAAGAAACGGAGGGCTCCATGCCCTAAGCGCTAATCCTAACACCTTGAACGAACCTGACCACCTCGAACGGCAACACACGAAACAATAACCTTGCGTTGCTGGCATTTCTTTCGTCATGGCTGAGGAGCCTTTAACATGGGGGATTAAACCATTATTCTAGCACTGCTTGGCTTTTGGCAATATTGTAATTGTTTCTATTGATTGTTTGCTGCTTTTGTCACGCAGGTATTGACGATCACCTCTATTCTTCTCGTTACTGTGCGAACGTTCTTGCTGAATATGCCCCGCCGACAAATGTACTCCTTTAAAACTCATCACCTACTGAGTAGAAGGTTGAATATAGGCTGCTAGTCTATACGGGTTAGCAGTCTTCCCTGCAAACCCTGCGCAACCTGGCGAACCCTAAACCCTGAAACCTCAGCCCCAGACTGCAAACCCAGCGAGAACCCCTACAATCCCTTGACCCTAAATACATGAAGACCCTTCAACCCTCTTAACCAGGTCGACCCCTGTGTGCACGATGCTTCCTCCCGCCAGACCCAGGCGGGATGCCGCTGGTGACGTTGTGATTGTTACGTTCTTGTTGTGATTGGCAGGTTGGTAGACTAGACTACTGTGATGAGCATGAGTCGGGGGAGTCCTTGGTTCTAGCAGGAGGCCCGACATTCGCCGTAGTCAGATCTATATCCTTGCGATGGGTAGCGGCGCATCTTTGGCAGATGGCGACGGAGAGATCGAAAAGATCCATGAATGCCGGGAAGCACCGAAGTCGGACCAGCTCTGCGTGGCAAAGTCGAACATCTGCATGCTGCTGTTCGGCAACAAAATGCTCATATACGACACCACAGCCAAAGATAAGTCAGTCGTGAGGGTGATGCAGGACTCGTGTTGCCTTTGTGTGGCTGATGACAAGGTTTACATTCTTGGTCCTCGCGGCCTTCAAGTGCTGGATCCCGTCACAAAGAAACTCCAGACGGTGCACGAGGGGGACCTCTACTCCGAGGTAGACTTTGGTACGTATCTAAACATGCTTCCCATCAACCGATGCCTGTGTTTGCTTCTTGAAGTCGACGCTTACTTCGAAGCTCACGCTCAAGACCCGGGCTATGTGGGCTATGGCGACGAGGAGATGGGACAGGTTCCGGGGAGCATATTTGAGAAGGCAGGTTGAGGTTCAGGTTTTATGGCAGTACAGCTCTTCCTTTTTGCGGCCTGAGCTCCCGCAATATCGGAGGACCCTGATTGGGATGAAGGCGAGGAGGCGGAGGAGGAGGAGGAGGAGGAGGAGGACGATCGCAGGGCTGTGTTTGGTCAAGTTCGCGGCCCAGAAGGCGAGGAGGCGGAGGAGGAGGACGATAGCAACCCTTGCATCTTGCTGAGGTATAGAGTGGATCTAGGGCAGATCGAAGCAGTTGCTACTCCTGGGCCAGGTGGCCGGCTTGGGAGCAGCGATTGCATGTGCGCTGCTGCTGGCACACTCTTTGCATTTACAAAAACAAAAGTATACAAACTCCGCGATGGCGATGGGAAAAGCATGGTCCAGTTCGCAGAGTTGCCGTCCCAAGTTCAGGTAAAAGGCGCGTTCAGTGCCACGTGTGTCGTCAATGGTGTCATCTATGCAGCTCCCGCGAAGGCTACAAAGATGTTGTCCCTTGACGTTCAGAACGGAGAAACGAAGCTGATCAATGTTGGAGGTGGAGTGCACTCCAGAGGAGAATGTGCAAATTTCAGTTCGATTTGCACTGCGGATGGGAAGATTTATTTGGCTCCAGCCTATGCTGCTCGAATGGTTGTCTATGACATCAAGAATCGTACGATACGGGAAGTAGACGTGTCAAGCGCAGGGCTCGAAACAGGGAAGCCAAAGTTCCGCGCCATTTGTCCAGCCGGCGGGAAGATTTATCTTGCGCCGGACCATGCCGAAAAGATGTTTGTCTATGACCCCACCATCAATGCCGGCGTGGGTGTAGAGTTGCCGGAATCTTGCTCCGGCACCAAGTACGGAGACATGTGTGCCCTCGGTGGCAAGGCACGCTTGACCTTCAAAACAGTGGGCACGATAAGGTATACATTAAGCTTTAGACCCCAAAACAAGGCCCTGTTGTGCAAAGGCTCTGGTGTGAAAACGCTACCCAACCTTCGATTTTCGTTTCATTCACCCTCGCATCCCTGTTCTTTGCAGCAGGTTTATCTGGCTCCTCATGGCACCTGCTCTGTGCTGGAGTGTACAGATCACCAGGCCTTGTCGAAGACTTCCAGCAAAAGCCATCCTGGCAGAGTATGAGGCCGAGAAGGCCACGCCAATGGATAGTTGGTTATACTGTAACCGCAACTGACACGCATTCCAGCACGGCATGTTTCTACGATCTCTCTAGAATCGCTAAAACAGACACCCCAAACCCGGAATATCCCGAACCCTAAGCCACTAAACTCATAACCCCAAACCCCAAAGCCCTAAACCCTCCATAGGCAAAGTTCGAGCAACTCTGGGCAGAAAGGATCCGGCCAGCAAAGGAGGCTCTCAAGAAGGCGTGGAGGCTCACAGGTAGAGGTCGAGGGTTCTTGCTGTTTAAGGTTGAGGGTTGTGGCACCCCACCGGTGAATTTCTCTGGCTTAATCACGGATCTTTTGCGCTTGCAGTTTGAGCTTCCAAAACATGTATGAAAGCAGCATAGTCTCTTTAATTCTTGCAGTTCTGTTTTTTGGTTCTTATTCTATGGCTTCAGGTGGCCTTGAGCCACACCCGCCCACAACGATGGATAAACCAAGGAATTCAGTGGTTTTGAAATTGAAATGGAGGCAAACCAGCCCAAACCGTACTAAAAAACACAATATTGTCTTGTTTTTTGCTTCGTGGTATGTTTAATGTTTAAATTTGTTCAATGGGTTGAAGTTGGTGTTAAGCTGCCCACCATGGAACACATACATCTCAGTGCATTGCAGTGTTGAAATAGCGCCAGAGCCAGCCTAAACCGTACCAAACCTGTCACATTCCGTAAAGACTGCGGCTTTTCTGGTGTGTTTGTGTGATTTTTGTTTCTCGTTTAATGGTTCCAGGTGGTGATCTCAGAAGCGAAACCGAGACAAACACCAAGGAATGCACTGGATTTGAGGCTTGAAATGGAGCCACCAACAGCCTAAGCCAAAACCAAGCAGCACATTCAATATTTGATCATGTTTGCAAAACAAAAATCTTATGGTTTGTGTACGGGTTTATGTTTCCAGCTCGTGGTTTCTTAAGCCCAACGGTCCAACACCATAGGAAAACAAGTGAATTTTCGATTCCAGGCTTGAAATGCAGGCAAGCCCACCTAGAGCCATGGAAAGACCAACCGCTAAGCACACTTACAAAACCAGACAACATCCTACACAAAGCCTAAGCCATGAATGTATTACCACACATGCAAACCATAAAAACACATATCTAAAGTATCACAATGCAAAATCTTGATTCTGGTTTCTGGCCGCAATAATGTTTCAAGCGTTGGGTTCGTCCGTGGTTTAGTAGGGTCTGTACCTTCGCATTAACTATCATGTTCCAGATTTTCACAGTCGTGGCCCTCGGCAGAGACATCCGTCGCAAATTCCCGAAGCACCTTCTGAGCCCTGCACACCAAGCCTCACATTAGATACGGTTTCGCATAGTGCTCTCCAAACTTGCTCCAAAAGCCCGCTTCAAACCAAACAATCGCAGTATTCTCTTCGACGCGTGTCACGTCGACAGGAGTCCGAGGGGGCCGGCATCTCCCTGAATTTCGTGATCGACAAATTCCCAAAGCTCATCAAAGTCAAGGACTGGGCTTGAGCTTCCGATGTCCAAAGCAACGCTGTAGCAGACTCATATGGGCTCCGGCTGAAGCGGAGGCTTGTGTAGGCTCCATTGGGGAAGGTTCACTAGAGGCTTGAACGCGTCAGGATTTTTCAGGTGTCCGGACCACGAAATTTGAGACGGTGGTTGAAACACGGAATTGTGCCATCTGCTCTGGAGCTTCTTGTGGTGGAGAACTCCAACTCCGAATTCCTGAGCACAGGCCTTCCCGGCAGATGATCCGAAGACTCCGAAGACATTCAGAAACCTGAAGAAGTCCTTGTTTGAAGCAGGTGGGCGTTCTTGCAACGCTTTGAAATCTCCTCAATCACAAACTTGGGTATGAGGTTTTCTTGCGCTGTTTTGGCACTAGCCTGGGATACTTGTTGTGAGTTCGGGCACAAGGATACAGTTTCAGGATTGAGAAACGAGGAAAAGCGCTTGAAATCTTGCAATGGTAGCCGCATGGGGTGCCTCAATCCTCTGGCAAACCTCTGGGCAATCAATCCTTGAGCCTCAATCCGAAGTCCTGAACTGGCAGGTTCCGGCTATGGCTTTGACTTGATATGCCCGCGAGACCAACAAAAGGGTTGCAGCCTTGTCGACGCCATGTATGAAGAAGATGTCCCTGGGATGCACCTGAAGCCAATTTCTTTAGCCAACCAAAACTTTATCGTCTAGACTTTCGTTGGAGCATGTTTCCTGCTTTCTATTAGTTCCAGACAAGGAAGCCAACCGTGGGTTAGCCACCCACTTTGTCTCATGGTGCTGGGGCTACACCGTGGAGCAAGTATGCAGTTCCTTGCAAAGCTGGCGTGCAGGGGCCGGCAAGCCAAAGAAAAAGTCACCGACTTATCTCTGGATGTGCTTCTTCTGCAATAATCAGTACAGAATTCACAAGGGCCAGACCAAACCGGAAGAGCTGAAAGAAGCTTTCGAGTCCAACCTCAGGGACATCGGCAAGATGCTCCTTGGGATTTTGTTGCAGATCACAAGGTTTGTTTGGTGTATTGTGTTATGCCGTACCATACAGTCCCTTGCTGTATGACGCCAGGCTGTATGTGTGATATTTGTCCTATTTAGCGCTACTACAACGTTCCGCAATGCAGCACGGTGTACTGTTGTGTCCGAGAAGTTAATCACTGTAACTGTACTATCGTAGATGCTCCGTGCTGCGTGGTTCAATCTCAAGGGCTAGTTGCCATGATTGCCAGCAGGGCTCCAGCTAAGGCTCATCATCTTGGACAGCTGCGTGAAACCGAAATACACGGAGCGCATGTGGTGCGTCTTCGAGACTTTCGTGTCCGTGCAGCAGAAGATTCAGCCGGAGTTGATCTTACCCGAGTCTGCCACGGAGAGCCTGGCCGAAGACATGAAGAAAGAGAAGGACCCAAGAAAGGTTGGGCTTGTGATAAACGCAGAGCCTTACCTTTGTTCCGCCGAGGGAGCTCTACATTAAGGTAGGACCCAACTGTGCGACCTTCCTGCCTGCAGGTGATGCAACAAATGAAGCAGCATCTCGATGAAGCTCGACAGTGGTTGGAAATCATACTTGGTTTGAGTTAGCTCCTGAACCGAAGCCCCAAAAGACCACGTGCTGCTGTGTTGTCGGGTTCCTAAGGCCATCAAAGTAGAGAATGCAACGGCCAGCGAGAAAGCAGACGAAGATGCCATCAAGAAGCTAATCGAGGACGACATGGGTTATAAAGACCCCAGCTCTTCAGTATCAGTTTTTCGTTCGCTTGTTTTTGCGGCTTCTACTTCAGAGATCAGCGATAGCCACAAAGAGACGGGATGCCTGTGCAACTGCTCGATGGGGCGCCAAGGAGGTCAATACCACCGTGAGGGAGAGGTTGAAAAAACCCATGGGCGACGTTATCAAGAAGTATTTCGAAGCCTTCATGGATGACGATAGTTAGGAGGTATGAGAGGTGGATGACGGGTCACCATGACCAGACCAGGGCTTGTTGGGCTTTGAAGATGACTGAACGCGTTGTCCTCTTGTTGCTTCCCTTCGAAGTAGCACACCTAGTGCTGCATATCGCAGAATTTTCATGGCATCGAGCAGAAGCCTTGTGATTCCGGTCTCGTGTTAGATGGTGTGCTTGAAGTAAAGATTACAGAAGTTGTAGTGGCAGTAGGTAGTAGAAGTAGTAGTAGTAGTAGTAGCAGTAGTATAGTAGTAGTAGTAGTAGTAGTAGTAGTAGTAGTAGTAGTAGTAGTAGTAGTAGTAGTCGTCGTACTAGTAGTAGTAGTAGTAGCAGTAGTAATAGTAGTAGCAAAGTAATAGTAGTACT